AAAAGGACATAGTTCAGTATGATGTCCAAAATCATGTGAAAAGGACGTATGACGTCCGAAATCATGAGAAAAAGGACATAGTTTAGTATGACGTCCGAAATCATGAAAAAACGACATATTTTCATACGATGTCAATCATCACGAAAAAAATGTTATATTTTAGTACAGCGTCCAAAAAATGAAATTTGTTCTTTCATAATTTTGGAAGCCATCTAATAAAAAACATGCTCTCATGGGAAAACAGAGGAAATCTAATACTATGACCTAACGAAGTAATTGTTGCACAATCATGATGGCACTTTATTTTTTTTTTTACAAAACTAGGTTTATTTGAAGACTCATTGACAAGAGAACTTTATAAAATCATATCAAAATTGATGCCAAATGCAGCTGATCACAGGACTTAGAGTATGGAGGGAATCAGAATGCACCAGCTGACCCCGTCCAGCTCAGCAGGTACAGCAGGGGCCCTGAATATGGCGGTTTGAGCAGGTTTGATTCCGACTTTGCTCTCTCTCCTTTTCATGCTTAGACACTGTCCTGTCAATATGCCCAAAAATATCTAAAACCTCACATAAGATCACACAATCTAATTATAATGCTTCCTCACAGGGTTCAACACATTTCTCACTTTACTTGTTTATTTCGCTCATTTCATGTCTTCTATGGCAGCAATTAACATCTCTGCTGGTTAAAGAACCCGTCAGTTGGGACTCAATCATCAGAAAAAGGTATATTCACCACTTGTGATGATTCGTCAGTTTGAGCATCGTTTAGAAAGAGTTGATAAAGTTGAAATATGCGTTGAGGAAGCCGATGGGATCTTCCAGCTGAGGATAGTGACTGATGTGTTGGTCCAAGACGGTGATGGTGGACCTCTGGACCAGCTGCCTGCAGGGACGAGAGACAGATTCATCATGTAACATCGATGGATCAAACAAATAGTATTTACAGAAAAGTTATAGATCATCCGTTGACATTTTGTTGATCATACAGACAGAAATCTGAGGTGGGCGTGAACAAGATCGAACAAGATCCCTAAATATGCAAATTAAATGAAACACAGACATAAATCCGAAATAATAAAGGGACATGATGATGCATGAGCATTCCTGTAAACATGAAGGTACAACTACATGTACAGTGGGAATATGTGAAGGAAATGAAAAGAAGAAAGTCTGGGGTTCAAAAAGGAAAATCTGAAATTTCTTTCCAATTTCAGTCCATGGGTTACTTTGAACCCTCAACCTTCGAGGTTCTAACCTCAGGGGAACTTCTATTTCTCAGAAATGACCCGATGTGAATTTGTTTCAAAACCAAAACGTTTAAAAGTACCAATTTTTTTTAACTGTCTCATGTATAAACACACATTTAAAAAAACACATGAGCTGCTGGAAGAGGAAAGTGACGGAGTATGTGAACAGGGTTTAAGAATCAGTTAGGGGGGGTGGAGACTCACTGATATAGACGGATGAAATGTGGATGAGGGTTGACTGGGTCCAAGGGTCCGTAGATCATGTGTACTGCAAGAGAAGACAGAGGACAAGAGGGAGGATTCACAAGGAAGAGGTCCAGAATTAAACCACATAGAGAGGCAGGGGAGGAGAAGATAAAGGAGTTTTAGTTTTCTTAAAAACACAGAATTATGTGAACGTGATACAACGAGCAGCTCTGTGAAGCTCAGTGACAGTACCAACACATTTTTTCATGATGTCTGTGCCACTACCACACACACACAACACACACAACAAACACACACCTGCCCCCTCCCTCCCGAGCTCGGGATCACAGATGGACCACGAGGCCGCTCCCCACTGGGTTAAGCAGCTTAGCATCAGCGGCTCTCCGGGCCGAGGCTGCTGGGTCAACACACCTTAAGGAAATGTTTGGCCTGCACAAACTTCTGATTGCCACTTCATCACACACACGCACAAACACACACACACACACACACACACAAATCATTGTGTGATGCAGATGCACAAACTCACGTGGCACAAAGGTTGAAGTGAGCGCGCCCACCCATCGCTCCCTGTGTTTTAATCTCTGGTTGATGTACTGGAGAACACTGACAGAGGGAAGAGAGAAGCACGAGTGAGTGCACGCACACGCACACACACACACACACACAC